ATTTAACTAAATTTTAAATGGACAAACATTTCAATTTCATGTATGTAAACACTCAATATTTGAGTCTTTTTTCCGTAAGGGCCTGCATATAGCCCTGGCGATAACCTTCACAGTAGGCTTTTTCGCATCTTCTTGATATAATATCTTCTAATGTTTGTAAATCTTGCATTGTGTTGATTTGTATTTGGGCACCAACACTGGTGTCTTTCAATGGTATATGAGGACTTTCATTTTGTTCTATTCTTTTAGTTTGAAAATGTTGCTGCTGCTGCTGTTGTTGTTCTTTGTTCTTCGGTTGGGTGGTCTGTTGTTGTTGTTGATGTTGTGGTTGCGTAGATGTTTGCTGGGGTTGAGGTACATATTGTCCATAATGGACATATTGTTGCGTAGATGTTGGCTCAAGGTGAGGTACATATTGAGGACTTATGTGCTGTTGCTGTTGTTGTTGTTCTTTGTTCTTCGGTTGGGTGCTCTGTTGTTGTTGTCTTTGTTCTTCGGTTGGGTGGTCTGTTGTTGTTGATGTTGTGGTAATAACATAAGCGCAGAAGCAGCACTTTCTTGCGCTTGAGGAAGCAGCATGGTGGAGTTATCCTATAATACATTAAATTACATATTAATGAAAGTTATATACAAGATATTGATACTTCATCAATGTTGTACAAAATAAATTAAAATATTAGTACAATATATTAAAACATACTCGAGCAGCACCAAATTGCATTAAAAGATTAGCAATGTGAGTATGACCATTCCAGGAAGCGTATGTCAAAGCGGTATGCCCTGTTTTCGTCTGATCATTAACATTTGATCCAATTTCCAGTAAATGTCGCACAAGAAAATAATGTCCCTTTTGCGCGGCATCCATTAAGGGTGTAAAATCATGAAAATTTTCATGATCTTCAACACTAGCACTCGCTTTCATTAAGTGGGTATAATCTCTTCTGATACCACGATCTTCCATATTCAGTCAAGAGGACCTATTTTATAAAAATAATGCGATAAATGAATTTTTCATTTATCTTTGCAAATGAATTTC